GAGATGGTGTGTGGTGTTGGATTGTTGCACCCTGAAGCCAGTTCTGGTTCTATTATCGCTGCACTCGTCCGGTTCTATAATCATTGCACTTTGCTCGGTTTCATCAGAATTCATTCTTCATTAATCTGGGTGATTTTTACTGCAACACCATTGATAGCAACCATAGAAATGATGATATATATCCCAGCCGAAACCAGGACACATAGCCAAACCCATAACCCTGCATAAGGGAGCTGAAAAGCTCTGCTGATCACAAGGAATATACAGAGACTGTGACCTACCAAATACCATGTGGCTGAGCTCTGACGCACCATCACAATGTCAGAAAGTAAATAATAATACGTGCCTGATCTTAGCTGCAACAGGAATTACAAGATAAACTTCAGTCACCCACACTCTTGGATTGCCATTAATTTCTGCAGGAGGCACCAATGGAAAGTGTTAATAAGAATAAACTGGGACGTGAACCCTACTAAAAAAAAAACCAGCCCGGAAAAAGAGAAACCCTCCAGCTTTAGACTGGAAGCAAGGGGAGCTTTGCCAGGTGTGGGAATGCAGAGAGGTCTTTGAGTGCTGCACACAGCTGCAGGCTGTGTCTCTGACTTTAGTGAGTGCTTGTTTACTCTGTGTGGGAGCACGCACTCTCCACGTGCACTTCTGAACTCCTGCTGATGGCAGGTGAAGTTTGTCTGCCAGATAGTACCGGCTCTAGGTATCCAAGAGAGCCATCAACCCCCTATTCTGACAGGCAGTAGCAAAAATTAATACAGATGATAATTAGTCACTGCGTTTGGCTTCTTTTCACTATTAAAAGAAAGAAGAGCTCTTCTCCTATAGGAATGACATGAATGTGTGTTTGCCAGAGCCAGGCTGGATTGGAATGCCTTCCCATATTGCCAAATAGAAATCCAGAGCTGTCCTACTGAGAAGTCCCCTAGAGGAAGGTCCCTGTGGAAAACACTCAGTCACAGGAAGAAGGCAGGTAACTGGTGACAAGTGGGGCCAGGGTCCTCACCAAGTGGTGAGCAGGCAAATCTCTGATGCCTAGGAATGTGTGGGGTTTCCTCTCTCTGAAATGAGTCTCAAGAGGCTGGGAGAGCAGAGCAGTCAGACCTCTGAGACCTGCTGAGGAATGAAGTGGGGTCACACTTCTCTCCAGAAAGCAACACTTTTTTGCAGAACCCCAGGCAGCTAAGACTTGGGAACTTGCTAAAGTCTGCTGCCAGTAAAGATTGAAAGTGGGAAACTTTCATGTTCAGACTAAAACCAACATACTTAGAGAGAGAGATGTGTTTGGACTTTCTCCCCCGCTCCATTTGCATAGCATCCACTTGACATTAGCTAGTGGCCCCCCACCAATAGTAAGAGCTAGGAAGGAAGATCCCAACAGCTAATTCCAGGTCCCTCCAGCAAAATACACACAGCACCCCAGGGGTGGTCTGGAAACCAGAGAGACACAGTGGTGTGGTAACAAGGTCACTGCAGACAAGCAGCAGCAAAGGCACATTTCCATCTGTCTAAATCTTTGAGTATGTTTGAACATAATGGTGTACTGAGGCTAAAGGACTGGAAATGTGGGATGACGTGCTTAAACGCACAACCTCTGTTTGCCCTTGTGAAGATTATGAGCCATACCTAAAAGCACACTGCCACAGGATCAGGTAAATTGGCTTTTATTGAAACATACTGTAATATGAAGCGGGGGGGAGGACAGGGGGGCTGGGGGGAAGATTCCAATTTAACACAAGTACATTGCATTTCAGGCTCCCAAATAACTATTGATATCTGCTGTCCTGGAGCAAATCATATCTTCCTTGACAAGTCAGACAGCTGCTCTTTCTCTATCTTCCTTTTGTTATCTTTAATAGCCATGGATTGTTGTGGTACCTTAAAAACATGTTTGCGACTTACTTGATGGATGTCTCACCTCCTGCTATTAGCCCTGGTTCATGGGTTCATCTAATGCCTGTTCTCGCCTACAAAACTCAGACCAAGCACTTTTGAAATGAGAGTGTGCCAGGTGCCACTGCACGGTGGGTGTAGTGCACACTGTGTACAGCTCCCCTTCCCCTCCAGCTGGCAGCCAGTGGGGTGAACAAGCTCTCTTGATCATCCTGAAATACAGTTAAGGTAGAAGCAACCTCCAGAACTCATCTGGTCCAGGCTCCTGCTCAGAGCAGGGCCAACTTTCAAGTCCTATAAGATTGCTCAGGGTCTTCCCCAACTGAGGCCTGACTATCTCCAGGGAAGTAGATCCCACAGCTTCTCGGGGCAAATGTTCCCACATTTGATCACAGCCATTGTGGAGAATTTTTTTCCATTTGTTTAAGGTATGGGAATTCTGGTATCTTAAATACAGGAATACTAACAATTTTAAGATAGGTCTAAAGAAAACCATGGCTATATTTGACCAATTTCACCCAGACTTTGAATTGAAAAGACAAAGCAAATCTTTTTCAGGCTATCAACTCTCCCAAGGTGTGTCAAAGGAAATAAAGACAAATGCGGTTGAAATGGCTGGGGGTGGTGATAGCGCAGCTGTTCCCTCGCTTTCCTCTGTCAGACTTTGCTGCCCCCAAATCTCAGTCAACACCATGGGCTGTGTAAGGTTTCCCCAGGCTACTCCAGGTCAGCCCTAAAATGTGCCAGGTCAGCCCTAAAAACCTTCAACAGCAAACTGAAGTGTGTGTGCGGGGGTTAAGCTAAGTTACGTGTCTTTATGATGCAAAGGAGGAGTGCTTATATTGTCCATTCAGCCAGCACAGCTGTAGGGGCACAGCCTTCTGCGTACAGGCACTACAAAGAGCTGGACAAATTAACAATTTGAACAGCCACGATCCCTTCTGCAGTCTTTCTGTGGCACTTACCCATTTGCCCTGACACTGAGAGACACAAATGCAGCTGGAGACCTGTACTTCTTCGAACAAAATGATGCGTCTCTGTCCAAAATCATCAAAGGGCACCTAATAACACCTGCCAACTGCTATTGTGCATTTAGGAGCAACCTTTAAACTAAAACATTTAAAAATCTAGGGAACATCCTTAAGTTGATGGGTATCATGGAAGTCATACATAAACCAGTATTAGCTACGCAGGTGCCTCTGCTTTTTGTGTCTCTATTTGCCTGATTAATCTGTGATTAAGACCCAGTGCTAGCTGCACATCCCTAGTAAGGTTTTATATTCCTAAATGGAAAAAAACCAACCCCTTTGGACCAGACTGTAGAACAAGCATCATTTCGGAGGGAGGGGCAAGACTGACACATTTAGTATGGAGTTTTGGCAAATATAGTAATAAACAGTGGTGCGTGCACATGCCCATTTTTTGTGTGCTGATGGAGTATTCAGCATTGAGATTGGCCCTTCAACACTCAAGAGGGGAGAATGGATTTCTGCTCTAATGTGTGTATTGTGTGCTCCTCCCAGCTCTCTTGTATTCTCCTCATATAGCTGAGACCAAAAGAGAGGATTTTTTTTAATCTCACATTTGTAGCTATCAGCTAAAAAGAATGCTAACAGAAAGAGAAATTTAGATCCTCCAACATGAAATTAACAGCTATGCTTTGTGATTTGAACAGGTCCCCAGTGGTACCCTTCCCGCGTTGGCCTGCAACTAGAACGCAGTGAGTATTCGTATGGTTGAATACAGCCACCTAACGTATTACTAATCCTCTGGCAAGTTGTCCTCCTGTACATGTTATTGGGTGAACTGTTAGCACTTTTTCATTAATTGATATCAATGATTAATGTATTAGCTTTCTCATTAATAAAGGAATCTAATGGTTTTCATAACCACTGAGTAAAAATGTTTCAGAATACAGTATATGATCAAATAATGAAGACAAGGCAGTTTTAAAACCATTCACTCACTCACCTCACTCAGTGAATTATCTCTTTTAATACTTGCTCACAGCCTCATCAGAAGATGCAACTGGCTGCAGGAGGCAGTCTCTTTTTTTGTGCCAGTACACCAGTTCTTGGTGGACATGGCAGTGGGAGATGAAGCTGCCACGGGCTGTGTGGCGTTTGGTCTGTGGACATGTAGCATTGCAGAGCCCTAGAAAATGAGGGCTTGGCACCTGGTGGAATTTAGCACCCTCACTGACTTAAAACAGTCAACAAACATATATTGAAAGGGAGACACAATACACAAAGTGGAAAAGAGAAAAGAAGTGTTGCAGCCATGGCAACACCCCATGCCAGTGGCTGTTGGGGGCTCCTAATATCCAACTCATTGCCTCCGTAAAAAAAAAAAAAGAACCAGATATTGCCATTTTATGTCTCTGCCTGTACACTCTAGGTCCATCAGGACTGGAAGCAGACGCCTCAGAATCCTGTGAAAAGTAATGTACAGATACAGATACACCTGGTCTGTCTAGGTCAGACAGCTTACAAAGAAATCTTGGACTCTGGGCCTTTGCCCAAGAAGTTGCGTTCATCATGATGGTGCCACCTCTTGTAAAATAGCCTGAGAATGCAAACGCTTCAGCAAAAGATATCAGTGAGGGAGACACTGCATACATTGACTTTCCCATTAGTCTTGCAAGACAGAACAAAAAGTGCTCTACGAAATAGCGTGTGTGATTGCATGGCATGTCTCTAATGGTCTAGATTAACAGAGATAGCGTTGTAACAATTGCTATGCATTGCTGCCCAGTGTCATGTCAGCCTAATGCTTTTGTTAAAATGAGAGGAGTATAACTCTCATAGAAGTGCTCTAAGTTGCTAACCTGGAGAATAATACCAAGTCACCCACAGAATACAAGTTGGGCCTTGTCCATTAGCAGGGCAGCCTATGCATTATGCTGAGCCTGTGAGAGGATGCCTGTTGTTCATGCCATCTCCTCTTCCCTTTTTGTCATTGCAGATGGGCCCTATTTGAAGGATTCCATTAACATTCAAAGCCTTGCTGTTTCCTCCATCATTACACTGTATTTTACAGATCTAGGTCAGCAGGTCGGTTGGACCACAGTAAGTATGTCCTTGTAACAATCAACATGATACATCTTAATGTACAATGTGTTTTAGCATCAAATTACTCCAACTTCCTCAACCTGTCCTTCCCTTTGTCAAATGGTGTAATTACTCTATCAGCAGACAAAATGGAATTAAATGGATAGTGAGCCAAGTTATCAACGTGCTAACTCTGACATCCAATTGAAGATTAGAAGGTGGACATAACAATATTGCCATGAGCAACAATACCTGTATTATGCTGTGGGTAGATCCATGGTCTGTTTTTATTTCTGGTCTCAGTCTGACTTCAATTACTTTCCTGTAAGCAGCTGTTGGAAGGTCAGGGTGGCAGGAGAGAGGCGACACATTCCACCCAAACGGGATTGTGGGGAACTCTAACCTTATGGGCTCATCTGTGCAAGGAGGAAATGAAAGATTCAATTCTTCCACAGCCCAAAGACAGAAGACAGTGGAAGGGTTTGAAAGAACAGTGAAGGAATGGGAGATGAAGAGACCTTTCCAACATCTTGCAGCAGGCACAGGTGGCGGAGCTGAAGGTAGTCTCACTGCTAGACTGACCTAGCTTTTGCTGTAGTTTGCACGTACCACGTCAGCTGGAATAACACACAGCCCACATCTGTATATTGGGTAATGAGATTCCCAATTTCTGCAGCGAGAACCACGAGTAAGATAGAACTACAGTTTCTGAAAGCCATAAAAGCCACGATGAGACTATTCATAGCAATGGAAAACAAACTGCCAATTGCTTGCAATTCCTTTAATGAAGCAAGTGAATTTTTGCTAACTGGCATCATGGCTGTAGGCCGAATTATTAGATTCTTACCTCAGGCAGCCCACAGATCCCACCCTGCTCACGTGGGGTGACCACAAGGCCCACTGACAAGCCAACTGTCCTTCCTTGGCTGTACCTATATGGATGGAGCTTGTGAGTGTCAGGTCTTTAACCAGCTTGCAGATGTTAGTACTGGTTCCTCTCTCAGTAGGTCACTAGGGGCTAGGAAGCATTACTACAAGACACTTAGAATGGACATGCTATTTTACAGCTCCTTATCCTGTTAATCAGTACACTCAAGGTGGATATTACTGCCAGAACTGCCCTTGACTTTGGGAAGAGTCAGCTTCCCGATCGGCACTGTAAGATCACATATCCATCTCACCTGCTCAAGCTCACGTGCATTTCTCTCTCTCCAGGGAAGCAGATAGCCCCTAGCAGCACAAACTCTGGGAGGTTTTAGCCCCTATGAACAAGAACATGACCTATATCTATCCTTCCCAGTTCAAACAACAGGACCCAAATTCCCAGGTGGTGACAAGCGGTTTACTTCAGTGGAGTTAGAGCAGCTCACACCCCGTGACCTACCCGTTTCAGTAGAGGTCTGCGAGTTTACCAAGGCTGAGGTTTTACCCCACTGATTCCCATACTGATTTATGGTCTACTGGGGCCATACTGATTAATGCTGCTTGGGGTCCTGTTTCCCCCCACAACCATCCCACCACCTCTCAACTGTGGAATTTCCTTGCAAAGCAAAATTGTGAGTAGTGCAGCCTCCTGTTTGTTACAACTAAGTAATCTGCAAGAACCTTATTTATTCTCTCCCTTCCTGGTGGTTTATGTAGCCTACGACAGTAACATAACTAAAGCTTAATATCCCATTATAAATAGTGCAGTTATGACTAGGTGTTGATACTGCAGGCAGTGGCATTTTTTTACGATTTAATCTGTGTGTGCAGAAAGTTGACTCCATTGAGTTTCTGAATATTCATCTTATCCCATTCTGTTCCATACTCTAAATTGTCTCCATTCTCAGTGGGAGAAGTCTTCTTCCTAGCCACATCATTTAAACAGTCAAGAGATTTTTATATTATAGCTAGTCTATAGCAATAGAGAAAAAGTTCATAGAAGATTGTATTCTAACAATAACAATTAAGAATATATTTGTACACAGGATGTATAGTTTTACTGCCATTTTTACTGTGCTTAGAGCTTCCATTCTCCCATCCCCCTTGATGCTCTATCAGATTTATGCACACAGTGAGGGATGCTTCTGATTTGAAGGGTTGACAGTTAAATAAACAAAGCACAGAATAAAAATATTCTTATCTTATCAGCAAAATGATAGCTGAGGTACAAAGGGCCACATTCAGGTCTGGACTCCAAAAATAGACACAGAAGCACATGGAGATATGTTGGTGCTCCAGAGGTCGATGCATTGGACATGGATCTGTCTAGGGGAAAACTAAGCACAGAAGTGGGTCTTCTGGGGCTTTGTTACCTCATTGGAGATCACACTTGAGATGCCCACTTGAGGATCAAGAACACTAAGACCCCCAATGCTGGGGATTTACACCAAGACAATGAGCTCGTGTTTTTTAAAAGGGGAAAGTGGTACCCACCTCCACCTTCTGGGAGCAGTACCCTCTCCAGGCATGTTGTAAAATAAAAGATGATGCTGTTGTCTGTTCCCAAACAGTTTGGGTCCCTAAGTCTAGGAGCATACTTGTGAATCAATGCTCAGCTTCCATTTTGGAGCATGCACAGTCTCTGATTTATGGTCCTTCTCACACTCCACCTTGGTGGCTCAAGAGTTTATCGTCTCCTGTTGTCTACCCAGTCCCTCTGTCAGAGGCTGCCACTTTGTAGGAAGGATGTTTCCTTCTCATCCTCAGCCTTCTTAAAACATGGTTGCACAGTGACAGAAATATTTTTGGTGTTTTGTGCTGTGAAAGGCCAGACATCCTCTGGGCTCAGGTTATACCACAGCTCTGAGATTGGTTGACCAGATTTCAACAAGTTCTAGAGGCTGGGTTGCTCTGAGGAGGACAAACTGGGGTGAGGGATTTGCAGTTCTCCTCCACTGGAGCAATTATTTGTCAATCTCTTTCGAGAATGAGGCCCTTTCCTGGGATAATGTGGGTAGAAATCCAACCTCAGCTGGTTCTTTTAGAAGAATGGAGTCCCTCAAGGCTCATCTCCAGAAAGAAATTCAGGGAGAAAACAAAACCTGTTTCTTAGTATCATGGATTTTGTTAGAACTCTCTCTTTACTCTGCCTTCTTTTTTATAAAACAAATGTTATCTGAAACACATAATTTACTTCTGCACAAGATTTACCAAATCTTTTACCCTACCTGGAGGGGATAGTTAAGGTTTGCTGACTGATACTAATGGGAACTGAGTTTACAGATCTTTTCCATATGCATCTTGCAAAGATTGTACCCCCAGGGGTGTTTGAAATTCTCACCACTGGAGTGATGGATTTTATTTTTAATCTCTGTCCAATTTTGGGCCTAAGCATGTTTGACAGAGACCTCTTTTTACATATTGCAATGCTGCATGTGACTTTTTGAAACATGGCTGGCATTTTACCTCTAAGAATGCATACTGCTGCTGTAGTCAAAAGGAAAAAGAAAACCATTCTTCCTGCTCAAATTCAGACTTCTGTTAAAGCTTTCCTCATTTGAGCAGTGATTGCAATTTCTGATTTATCAGCTTCTGTTGTCTAGTTGCTACCCGGGCAGGCTACCAGAAGGATCAAAATAGAACTGAGAAAACAGCGTAGAACTGTGAAAAATATATTTTACCTCCAAGTCTGTGAATTTCATAAGATTAACCCTGAAACACAGTACTTCAGTAAATATTTTTTGTAACTGTGATTTAAAATCAGGGATTGCTTAAATACTTTGACTCCTGAGAGCCTTAAAATACTGAGGCTGGCAGCAAAACTGCTCCATTTGCTTAGATTATAGTTCCTTAGGTTGTGCATTTTTTTGCTTTGTGTTTGTACAGTCCCCCCCTTTGCATACCCTCCCTATATGACTGATTCCACGCAGCTCTGTGATACAAATTATCACACAGAAAACCGTTGATTCTCTCTGATCTGAGTTACCATTTCAATAGGCTTCTGCTGGCGTAAAACGGAGCTGGCTGAAAAATGGAACTGTATTTAATAGGTTTAAGATTATATTATACATCATTTTTCTGGAATAATTTCAAATTTTCCAATGAAAAAAAAGATTCTGCTCAATTTAGAAATACAGAGACTAATACTTATTTAAACCCGAAACCATATTTGAAATCTGAAAATCTACACTTTCACTAATTGGTCTGTTCTCTTCTGGCTGGCAAGCAAAATTATCACCGAGTTAGACATTGTGGAAAACGAAGAAGAAGCCAAGAGATCTATGTTTGAAGCTTTGTGATTATGTACAGCAGGTGTACACAGTGGGGAAGTGCATGCTGTACTGAACAACGAGGTGCTGCTGTTCTCTCGGGGGGAAGGCAGTGTTTCGGTCAGCGTGGTTCTCTCCTCTTACTCGCACAGTGCACGCAAACCGAAGTTCTTCTGTCCTGTGGGCGTGGGTGGGTGGCGAATGGGGGGGAGCAGTTTGCTCTGACTGTGGCTGGCAGAGCTCACGCAATTGGTCCTGTAAATGGGGAACAATCCCATGAAGTCTGTGGGATCAATGTGGTACAAAGCAATTTATGAATATTGACGGGTTTAAAAAAAGAGGCAGCCAAACTGCTGCAGACTCATTGTCTCCACCTTCTCTATACTGAGGTCAGCTTTGGGCTTCCCATGGGGAACAACTTGAGATGTTTTCCCTAATTTGGGAACGGAAGAAGAGACTTCAATAAAGGTTTATAACCTCTCAATGGGATGTAGAAGTACAGACAATTACAACAGAAGAAAAAAGACAGGATCTGAGGAGTTTGAAGGAGTGGGAGAGCTGGGAGTCCCAGCAAACTAGTGGGCCAGTGTGAAGAAGATAAATGTAAGAAAACTCATATGATCATTGCTGAGGAAGGAATTTGAGATCAAGGTAAGAGAGAGAGCTGAGGATACGTAGGATGTATCAGTGGAGAATGTCACTGAATGTATTTCTCAGCGGATACGTATCAGAGCTTGCATATTTTGTGGCCAATTCAAACACAATTAGTTGTGGGACAAGACCCTACAAATTGAATAAAACTTTCAGGGAATTGTGGGTACCTGG